TTAACAAAATTTTCCAATACTTTTAAAGACCCTTCTCCTACGGTCTCTATTTAATCCCTAACCAGGCTACTCAGTTCAGCAGACACTTTTCCCTAGAAAAGGACTACACGACTAATACAGAAACATAAACATTAATTAATTAAAGCAGAGATACGAAAGACTGAAATTAAATGTAAAATACATTTCCTTTTTTAACCTCATATATCGTTTAAGCTGTCTTCCAAAATTAAGCTAACTTAAGCTAACTTCCAAAAATAAAGAGACACAAGCAGTATGCAAGCAGGGCTAATTGTACATGTGAATTATCCAAAATGGGTCTGGAATAATTGTTACGGGTTATGTGCTGTTTTTTTTTTTTAATAAAACAAGTGTTCTTATTTTGATTTATAAAGCACGCTCAGTTCTGACTGCATGTGCATCTATCTGGAACAACGTAACTGACTCCAGAGAACTTAGCTCGGGTTTACATTAGTGCTGACAAAACCCATTACAGAGACTAATACTATACATACAGCTTACATATGTATTTGTAAATAGTATTTCACACATTTTCTTCACGGTTTGGCTCAGCATATCCCAGCTAGTTGTCCCCAGAAGCGTTCTCTTAGCTATATCATTTATTTTCTAATTTTATGAAAGCAAAAAATTCATAACACCACCATCAGATTTAACCATTTTACTCTCGAAATACACTACTAAGTTATTAATAGATTCACCCAGAGGGAGCCTTCAATGACAACTTTAAACCACTTGCTCGGTGCTTTTTTTCTTTTTAATTTCTTTTTAATTTCCCTTTTTCTCTAACCCCTCTCCTCAGTAATTTAGAGATATGGAGAAGCTTCGTGCTGATGCGTTAAAAGCTTGTCTTACAGATGTGTTAATAATTAATAATTTTAAGAAACCAACTTATCTGATGATTTTAGCTGTTAGTCATTCACACGAGCTGTATTTGCAAACTCTCTTGTTTTGTGTGTATCAAACTGTGATAGCTTTTACCTTACATGAAAAGGCTGTACTTAATTCATGTTTATGAAGATGCCGAGTGAACAGAGCTGTGCTTTCACTTACTCCCGCAGTGACCTAAATCAACTGTGAGAAGGTGTTTCTGCTTCATTCAGTGAAGGTTTAGCTCATTAAACTGTTTTCCTTCTCAGTATTGTTCTCTGGGTTTGAACTGCATCGCTGTTAAATGCTCTTTAGCAGTTTAAAGGCTTTGAAGGAAAAGACTTACCAGTCTCTGTTTTTAACAGCACTAAATCTGCATTATTAGTTCATGCAGATAAGGGGATTTAAAAGCTCAGCTTGAAACCTCTCCCTTCAGTATTTATCTGACACTGCATAGCTCCAGTAGCTCAGCTGGAAATGTAGATCTATGAAGCTTTAAAGAGAGATTAAAGCCAAGAAAAGAAGTACTTTTCCCCCTATAGACGTTCTCACTTTCCCTTTTCCTACTGTCTGAAGGAGTGATGGCAGACAATGGTCAAAGATGGTTCCCAAAACCCTCTGAATGGGGACACTGTTGGTGGTAGCATTCATTTAAAGTGAGCTTCAGTGTATTGTCCTCCCCAATCAGCAGATCAGAATAGAGTTTGCTGGTGGCTGCCAAAAGGTTAGCAATGCCGATGAAAGGGGTTTCCCATTATTCACTGCTCTTACAGAACTCCCCTTTTGTGCGAGACAGCCCATCATTTCACTACGGAGGTCCGGATCTGCGGCTGGCTGCTCTCTCAAAATGAACAATTCATCTGAATGCAAACTCACAGTAGTAGTGTGCAACCTAAAATTGAAGGTTTTCTTTTCTAAGGACAGGGGAGTAGAGGCAGTTTTCGGCAGTGTCACATTTTAATGATATACCATCATGACATTTTTGACCCACGGCTGACACTAATACTACAGTCGTATTACCTTACTGCTTCCAGGGCATCGTGGGAGGTCCAAAGCTAAAATTAGCTAATGAAGCACACTGTATGGTGTAAACAAGTGTGTAGTAGATAACACATAAGTTTTATACCGGTTTACTAAAGTCCCTTAGTGCAAAGCATAAGAAAAAGAGAGAAGACCAATGGAGGGGAAAAAAAAAACAAAAACAGGTCTTTCTCACACTGATATACACTGTATGTTACAAAATACACAAATCTGTCTCTCAAACTACAGAACCTGATCTAACTGCAGCTCCATCACTTAAGTACGAGTTCTTTTATTATAAACCTCTCCCTGCTACATATTTACAAACCAAGTGCCTGCTGTGTTCTCTGATGATTTGAGCAGCCTGTAAAAGTGGAATCACAGAATCTCAGACACCAGAGCACGCAGACTGAATAATTCCTGTTCATCCTTGTATCACCATACCTCAAAAGTGAAAATAAATGCCTATTTTGGAGAAATTCCTACTTAGCCCTCTGCTGGAGTACACAGGAAAAGCACTTACTTGTATACAGTAAGTGCCTATCTGCCTGCCTACCTAAGCAACACTTCTAGAAAGAAGTGACACTTCAGATAGAAAGTGACTGAAAAGGTACTTATACTCTATCCCACATTTTAGATGTTTTAAAATGAAAATTTAGATAGGGAATCACAGAATCCCAGAATGGCATGGCCTTCTTTGTCCCTCTGCCCACCCCTGTGTCAGCAGGGCCACCCAGAGCCGTGCCCAGCCCCACGCCCAGGTGGGACAGGAGATCCCCAAGGAGGAGACCCCACATCCTCTGGGTCCCTGTGCCAGGGCTCAGCCGGCCATCCAGCACAGCAGTGCTGCCTGTAGGCAGGGGAGCTCCTGCGCTGCAGCTCACGCTCGCAGCCTCTGGGCCCAGCCCTGGGCATCACTGGGCAGAGCCCAGCTCCATCCTCTTTGCACCTCTCCTCGGGTACTTATGGACACCGACTAGACGTCCCCTGAGCCTCCCTTTCTGCAAGCTGAAAAACAACAGCATTACACTCCCAGGTATTTTACTATGTGTAAGTTTGGTTCAGAGGCAGCGCTACTTTCCAGGCTCCTGCAGGAGACAGCCAGGAAAGTAAACAGTAATTTGTGGTGGGGAACCCCCCTGAAGTGTTGCTGTGTGTACTGCACTCTGGGCTGCCGCTTCCCCATGACTCTTATGGGGACTTCTCTGAGCCCAGGGAGCCCGGGGCATGAAGCATGACAGGGCCACGCAAACAGAGGAGTCACAGGCACCTGCTAGCCTCTGAAAGCTCCCCATGTCCAGCCTTGGGCCAGCAGTGGGACTCTGCTGCCCTTCCCTGTGCAAGACTGCAAACAAACGTGAGAAGGAAGGGACATGTGGAACATGTCTGTCACCTCAGCCCTCCTGGGCAGGGCCTAATTCTGGCTGAGCACTGACCTCCCCCCAGTCCCAGGCCCACTCCCTCCCTCAGCAGCTCGAGGCACACAGGGCTGGGAGGTGGGCAGGACTCGGCGTCCGCCCCAGGACCCAACTCCCCTTGTGCAGGGAAGGGCAGCAGAGCCCCACTGCTGGCCCAAGCCTGGACATGGGGAGCTTTCAGAAGCAACAGAAAGGCAACAGGTGTGCTGCCAGGGAGCACAACTTCCAAAGGTGTTCATCTGTGTACTTTGTGACTCAAAGACAATCAAACGTTCAGGTAAAGGAACACAACGAACAGAAAAAACACAAAGTGCCCTGTTTTTATTTTTCCCAGTCTAAGCATCATCTTATGCCATGGAAAGCACTGTGTGCCAGGTGCATAATGTGCTTTCCTTAAAGCTCTCTTTCTTGGGCACACATGAGGTCAAGCAGTGCTTCATCAGAGCAGTACCTGCTTACATTACCAGTACATGTATGCTCATGCAGAAATTATCTTGTCTTGCTCGAGACAAGAGGTCTTTTTTCTAACTTTATAACTGCTAATAGGGCAGCTGTAAATTCTGGGGGTATTTTTGGGATTGCTGAACACACCATTCTCAGTATAACCACCCATCAAATGAATCAAATCTGTAACACTGTTATACACCACGATGGTGTTAATAATAGTGATGACTGCATGCAAACACTGTTGCCACTTTACAAAGACTAGGCACCCGCTGCACTCAGCTAGAATTGAGATTGAAGCACAGAAGGGGTTGATGCTGAGGAGGCTGGAGCTCGTGCAGTATGAGGAGACGCTCAGAGGGCTGGACACGTTCATTTACAGGAAAGGCAGACAAGGGAGGCTCTGTCACCTGCGTGGTTACAGAAGAGCCCCAGCTGGACCTTCCTCAGCAATGCAAACTAAAAAAATGAGGGGCAATGAATACAAATTGCATTGAGGGAAATTCTGAGTGGATACTAGGGAAAACAAAGTCACAAAAAGGATGGTCAAACACATTAACAGGTGCCCCACAGAAGCTGTAAATCACTGCACGTGGAACTATCCAAACTCAGCTGGGTAAGCCCAGCACAACCTGACCCAATGTAAACGTCAGTGCTGCTCTGAGCAGAAGGATGGACGAGACAGCCCCAAAGGTCTCTTTCAACCAGAATCTCTAAAGTCAAAGAGTAATAGATCATCCTGAGCTGACAGGGACCCACAGTGATCACAGAGCTCAACCCCTACACAGCACCACCCAGACACTATGGCAGTGTCCCAGTGCTCCTTGAGCCCCAGCAGCTCAGGGCTGTGCCCACCGCCCTCTCGGGCAGAGTCTTTTGCCAATTTCCAATCTTATTCTATTATGCTTTAAGTGAAAACATGAAAATCAGCTTTATTAGACTCCATGCAGACTAAAAATAAGTTAAGCTAACTAACATGTTATAAAAATAAATCTACTTTCTACTTTACATGTTCTGGTGACCTTAGAGAGATTCTTCAAACTTACTAATTTATTTTAGAAGAGTAATTGTTATTAACTGATCTGTAATCAATTCTAATGTGTAGAAAACTCTCATATAGTCTGTTTTCAGTTCACAGAATAAAAATCTCTACATTTCTAAATGTGCCTTCTGGAACATGTTTTATAAACCGTTTATGAACAACGAAGGTGATAGAGAGAGGCCAATACATACCTATCAAGCACATAGCCAAGAGCCTTATGCCGTATTCCTGAGTAAACCGATGGGCTTGTTTCCCAAGCAATTAAATTGGAAGCATCATGGAAAAGATGAATGTTTACCAAGTCAAAGGCACTATGACAAAAAAAAAAAAAAGGAAAAAAATAAAATGACTCAGGATAAAAGAAAAAAACATTTGTTGCATTCAGCAAAGCATTCAACACAGTAACAATATATTTTCTCTCACTCTACCTTAAGATTTACTCACATAGACTGTGCAAATTAAGCTATCATCACCAGACAATTGTCAATAAGCATCATAAAACTTACGCTAAGTCATTCACAAATAAAATCGCATGTAGGGTTCTGCATAAAATATGCATAATATGAAAATGAAAAGCTTTTTGTCTGTTACAATTCATGGAAATTGAGCAGCACTCTATCACTAAAATGATTAAAACCCAAAATTGAGTGTGAAAAAAAACAACTTCAAGTTTATATGTTGTGGTTAAACACCTATCAAAGCTGTGAAGTAAACAAAATGAAAAGCTACTGATGCACACTTTTGCTGACATTAAAGGCTAAATTGTGTAGCTGCAACTCCTCCTCAGTCCCTGCACAGAGAATGCCAAGACAGCAGCGGTCAATCTGCATGGTACTCCCAACACGGAAAAGGACACAAGGAGTTAAGCTCCAGCTGTGCTGCAAGAAGAGGAGTTGGTCTCAGAAAACAAGCAAAATTTGTAAAATGTCACTGCTTTGCATTCTACCCTGAAAGCCAGGACTACTGACCCGTTCTTCGCTGCCTGCACGAGGCAGTGAGTGGGCAGCAGTCCCTTTTGGGCCTGGCCACAGCCCACTGCTGCCCCACACAACTGCTGGCAGCATTCTGGCTGGGAAGCACCACCTCACCCTCAGGAGCAGCTGGCAGGAGCTGAGTGCTGCCCTGCAGTCCAGCCAGGGACTGGCATAGAGCCCTGAAACAGAGCGCACTGCTGTGAAGTTAGTTCGATGGATATGGAGTTGGGTAGGGGAAGAAGAGAAATAGGGATATACTGGAAGTTCATTATTAATCACTGAAACCAACTTCAAGCCCCTGTGAAAAAGAAATCCTTCCTCCTGCATAAAAGCTGAGTTGCTTCCTGTGATCACTGCATGTCCACCCCATTTTCCCAACCTCTTGCTGTGAGGGTTGTTTACAACATATTCAGTATTAAAGCATACATTCTTTGACATGGGGACAGGAATTTGCTACAAGACTGCACAAGATTTGGCTGATTTTGGCTGATAATGGCATTTGTAAGAGGAATACCACCAGACTGACAGCATACCTGCATGCAACTGTCTCCTTGTACCTTAAATCACTTTGCACACTCCCACTTTCCACTGAGGCAGAAAACCTTCACGCAGAAGGAATTTTGTGTTATAATCATGCTCAAATGGAGAAATGTATTATTTCCATCATGTTAATCACACAGTAGGTATCACTTAGGGTGGGTTGACAGCCACTCGGAAGGCAAGCTGTCCTACTGAACTTTTGTTTCCAACTGCTCACAGATGTGACCCACTTGAGTAGCAAAAGAAATCCGTGCAACTATTACACTCAAGCTGGCATTCCGGTTTACATTTTCTTCGCTTGTGACCTTTTGTATCCTAGATACCTGGTGTGTGCTTTCAAAAACGACACCATCTCACTGTTTTGCGATTAAGCTCTTTTGGCCATGGTAATGAAAGCAGAAAACCTTGAATACTCTTGGCCCACAGATGTAGATAAACAACAGCCCTTCCTAACAGCAAGATCCTCCCCCCCAGAAAATGAGAATGTGGTATGTTCCATCAGATCCCCCATGCAAATTACTGCTACATGTTAAAATTATGGCTAGTGTTTAAAAAAAATTTTTTTTGATAGACTACAACAGAATAGCTCAAGGGTTGTCGGCCCAACTGCCCGACCTGCTCAGGGCAATCCAAATGTTAGAGCATGTTACTGAGGGCTTGTCCAAATGCCTCTGGAATACTGGTGGGGCATCAACCACCCTGCTGGGAAGCCTTTTCCTAGCTTGATCACTCTCAGAGTAAGGAAGTTTTTCCTAATGCCCAGTCCCACCTTCCATGGAGCAGCTTTGTGTTGTTCAAAAGGCTTTGTTCTATACAGAAAAAATGCCAATAAAGTCTAAAGTAGCCAGCTCTTAGATCAGAAAAAAAGTTGTGGGAAGAGTAGAAGCAATATTAAGTTGCCTCTGCTCCAGCAAGGGTCCTGTCCCGCTGGCACAGTTTGGCAGGATGAGGTGCTCAGACCAGACCAGCTCTATGCAGTCTGTCCAGGAGACACAGCTCTCTTTGTCTGTGGGAGCTGAGGTGCACCCCAAGGACAACAGGTCTGCCAGTTCCCCTTTGCAGGCAAACAGTTTCTTGGTTGTCCTGCCATAGACCCCTTGAAGCCATGCTGATCACCATAGAAATGCCACTCAGAACACACTGCTTTTCCAGGTGCTATGTTTTCCAGTGTGCATAACCCACTTACGGCAGAAGCAAGACAATGACTTGTGAAGAGCTCTAAAACCATGCACTCTTCACCTCAGGCTAAGCTACGCGCAGAGTTACAACTACATTAAGCAACGAAGGACAGTCTCATTTCTCTCCTTCACTGAGGACCACTATTTGGGCTAAGTCCAAAGGATTTCTGGCCTTTTCTTCCCAGAAACATCCACTGCAGGCCCTCTCAGCATCACCTCTCTTCCCTGGCCTTCCTGTCTGCTTTCCCAGTGCTCAGCAAGGTAAATCACGGCTCAGCTCCAGCATGTGATAGACCACCTTTCCTTGGATTTCAGGTTTCAAAAACAACTTTTCCCTTTAGAGCAGAGAAGCACTGGGTCCCAATGAGATGCATCCCAGAGTCTTAAGGGAATTGGCTGATGTAGCTGCCAAGCCACTCTCACTGACATTTGAAAAATCGCGGCAATCAGGTGAGGTCCCTGGTGACTGGAAAAAAGGCAACATCACACCCATTTTTAAAAAGAGTAAATAAGATGACCCCGGGAACTACCAGCCTGTCGGTCTCATCTCTGTGCCGGGGAAGATCATGGAGTAGATCCTCATGGAAGCTATGCTATGGCACACAGAAGGCATGGAGGTGATACGGGAGAACCAGCATGGCTTCACCAGGGGCAAATCCTGCTTGACCAACCTATGGCCTTTTATGGTGTCTGTGCATCAGTGGACAAGGAAAGAGCCACTGATGTAATCTATTCAAATTCTATTCAAAGGCTTCATTAAGGCCTTTGACACAGTACCCCACACCATCCTTCTCTCCAAATTGGAAAGACAGGGATTTGATGGGTGAACTATCTGATGGAGAAAGAACTGGCTGCAGGATTGAGTCCAGAAAGCAATAGTCAATGGCTCAAAGTCTGGATGGAGATGGGAGAAGATGGGAAGTGAGACGCCTTTGAGATTCTACTGTATCACGTGAATCATATTCATAGACTATTCCAAACAGGAAACTACCACCATATTTCACCTCATTACAGATCAGAAAAAGCTGTGAGTCTATTCACTCTTACTCCCCGACACATCCTTGTGAAAAGTAAGCATGGTATATTAACTGATCTGAACATCTGGCTATAGACTTCTCCTTCCAGAAAGTACTCTTTTTTTTTTTTTTTTTCCTACTACCAACAGGCAACAAAACATTTATTTTAGATCTAATCATGAGGAGCTTTATTTTTTTTTCCTCATAAATTCCTAGATTTTTTTTTTCCTGCTAATAGAGAAAATTCTTGTAATGTAAGAGAAAAGGCCAGATTAGCAACTGGTGTCTCCCACATCAGTAGGTCTCTACTGATGGAGTTATGTGTCATGTTATATGGATACAGAAAAATTAACAAGAACTTAAATTATCCAGCAGCTACCTGTTTGATTTCTAGGTAAAAGAAAGTCTGTAAAGGGCAAAGATTGCTGCTCTCTCATTTTTCACAAATTGTTTTTGCTTAGTCTAATAAACATGCTTATGCAATCAAGCAAGAGCACTCAAGACTTGAAGATCAAACTTGTGATTTTAAGATAGGAGAAAACTAAAGGGGGAATGGCAAAGCACTCTATGGTCATTTGTATTAAGGTAACTACAACAAAAATAAGTAGTAAAGACCAGAACAATGGCTAAATGATGAAAAACTATGGTCAGATTTCCAGGTGGGACAAGAGAAATCTATCTATCTGTGGGTTTATTGAACTCTCCTTGTGTGAAGCCAAGGAAAATATTCACGCTCTCTCAGATACAGTTTTTGCACAATCAGCTACTCTCCCCTACATACACTAATACTATTATTAAAGATATATTTTCAAACACAGATAGTAAATAGCTTCAGTTACATGAAATACACCTCCTGTCAATACTAGCTGGTACTTCTAAAAAAAGTCTGCTAACAGACAACAACATAAGGATGTTCAACTTCTGTATTCATACCGTTATCTGCTGCCCTCAACTCTCAACTCCTTAAGGTTTGTTTAGGCTGCTGGATAATCCCAAGAGTAAAAATGTTTGTTTATTCCACAGATTTTCACAGCACATCTTATGTGGGATGGTTTTCAGGCAGGTTATATCAAACTCGCTTGATGGGTTACTTCTGAAGCAGTCCATGAGCACAAAGATGGAAAGTGTGCTAGCTGTTCTCTGCTGCCCCCTCCTAACTCTGGCTGGTGAATGGGCTGCCAGGCGCTTTATTTTACTCTGGGATGAGCATAAGCAAGCTCATAGAGAACAGGACCATGCCTTGGGTTTAAAATGGCATTCCTGACCTGAATATGACGAATAAAAGTTCTGTTCCATTAAAAATAACATAATAGTAACTGGTGTCAAAAAGCTGCGTTCAGTAAAAATAGAGTCCCTCCACTGGCTTCAATGGAAACTGGATGGGGTCTTCAGTGGCTGGCTTAAAGAGCTCGTGAAGAACAGCAGTTTCCCTGATAAACCCGAGAGGGGAGGGCTGACCTGCCTACAACCAGTGTCTGAACTGGGCAAGGCACTGCAGGCTGTTGGACGCATCGGGCCTGGTGGGGAGGGCTGGGGATACCTTCAGCTCTGCACTGTGACTCCATCCTGCACTCGGTCACAGATACTGAAAGGTTCTGATCATGCTTGGTCAAAAGATTGCTTATGAAGTAAATTATCCCATGCTAACTGCACGTGTGTGTCAGTATTAAAATCACATTTTGAAAGTGCTTCACTACAACTTATAGAGCATTATGTGCTCAATAAATAAAAAATTCAAGTAACTGCTTTGAAACTAATTTACTCTTCGTGTATATGAACATTTTATTTGAGACAGCTGCTGATAAAAATGCATACAACACATATAGTCAGAAATAAGTTAAAGAGGCAACGTACCAATCAGTAATACACCACCTTGTTCGAATGAAACCTTTTCTGGACCACTTGCACTGAAAAATAAGCAAATAAGAATCAGTTATCTTAAGAAAAGGATTACTGTGATGAAAACAAAATGTATTTACACAGAGAAGCAAATAAAATAAAATTAATCCGCACAATCTAAAAAGCATTACACACTGACCAAGGAAGCTTGAAAACACACATTGTTTCTCACAAATACTGGAATTATTTATATTTTTGGTTCTACAGTGCAGTTGCAAATTTACGAGTAAAGTGAATACAGACCTACGTAGTTGTTTACAGACGAAAGATAACCCATTAATAAAGCTTTACAACTATATCGATGTTTGCCCTAAACTAGTGAATTCTTACTGTCTCTGCATAAATACTTCTGCTTCTTTGTAATTTTACTTGAACTGTAAAACCTTATCATAGATCTACATCAAATTAAAATGAATGAGATGTGCTAGAAAGCTATTTCTCCTGCTTAGCCAACCAACCTAATATTTCTATAAAAGTTAAAGGGAGTTTAAATAATGGTAAAATATTACATTTATCAACACTGCAACATCCGCAAGAAAGCCACAAATCAGCTCCTGCCAGGGCACCTGCCAGTGCACTTCTGGAACAGTAAAAGGATTTCTTCAGCACCACTCCTAAGCCATGGCCATAAATTAGAGCCTCCCACAGAAAGACATGATTCTGCATCCTATTTATTCACAGTTAACAATGGATGTGGGGCTAGGTGAATGTTCTTCAGTAATGAATATTGCACCAGACAGGCCTAAATAATGATGCCAATGATTTTGTAGCAAGAGACCACAAGTACTTATGACTTACAAGGCATCAGCCATAGCACAGCACTCCTCAGAGCCAGGGTACCACTCCCTATGCTTTCATAGAATGGCCTGGATTGCAAAGGAGCACAATGCTCAAGTTCCAACCCCCTGCTATGTGCAGGGTCACCAACCAGCAGCCCAGGCTGCCCAGAGCCACATCCAGCCTGGCCTTGAATGCCTGCAGAAATGGGGCATCCACAGCCTCCTTGGGCAAAAACAGACTTCTCCTAAGGCACTGCCGATAGCATTCAGAAGAGACACCCCAGTTCTGTTTAGCAACCTCATGTGAATAGACAGTCCTCATGGAATTTCCAGGTCCAAAATCCTGCTGAGATAGCCAGCTCCGTCACAGAACCCAAACGGTTCGTTCTACAACTGCCATCAGATAACAACAGTTACTTATCCCCCATCCTCCCATCCTTATGCACAAACACAGTAACAACAAAAGCACCTTAGTTTTTGCAGCAGCACTCAGGATGGACTTAACACAAACCTGCTCCCTTCACCAGCACTCCATTTACACCAAGATGATTGTTGCATTCCAAACATGCTTAAAAAGATTTAAAAATGTTTATTTTACTGAACTCATAATGTTTTTGTTCTTGAAAGCTTGCATATGAGAATTACTTACTTACGTGCAGTTTTCCTATCCAAACCCAGAAAAAAGTGCAGAATTCCTGGTGACAGCTTATTTCATGAGCCACACTCAACTACAGTGCTTGTCACCTTGTAGAACGCGTTCCCTGCGTGCCACAAAACTGAGAAGTAAAAAGCTGTCTACAAAATCCGACAGCATAACTCTATGCACATTTATGCACTACAGAATTTGGGAAACTTGACATTAGCATTTGTCGCTTCCAGTGCTGATTTCAGAACAGCCTTTCTGCAGACGTGTGAGCCCATCCTGCAGATGTGGCTGCAGCCCGATTTTACTGCCAGGTCTAAAGGAGAGCCGCAGTCTGAGCGCCTGGCTGAGCTGGCCCCAGCAAAGGAGGTCTGAGGCGCTTCCGCAGGGATTGCATCATTGCAATTGCTGCAGCAATGGAGTGCACAAGACGGTCCTCTCAGCACAGCTGAGTCCAAGCACGGCGACTAACAACAAAGTACTCTATCTTGGTGTACCCACGTGTTATTTGATACCAAGTACACACTGAATAGCTTTCTTCTCTTACATCTTTACTTAGAGTTGGCTTGCAGTGTACTCACAGGACATAAGTAAGAGGGAGTAAAACAGATTAACAAATCTGACGTTAATTATCGATACGGACTGAAATAAGTGGTTTTGATGAGACCAGGTGTGAGAACCCCAGTTCGCAAAAATTTAATATTTTTGACACATTCAATGAAGTTGTGCTTCATCTTCCTATCCATGACCTCTCTCTTTGGACAGAACTCCAGAATGTCAAGAAACATCTCCTTCTGTTTTCTTTAGAGACTTCATACTGTCTTATGCCTTTCTTTTGCTAATGCTGATGCTTACAAGTGCTGCAATTTTTTAAGAATTTGTACTTTTGAAAGCAAGAAAACTTGTTTGGGTCTAAAAAGGTTATATTCAGGTAGAAAATCCTACCAGTTCCCTACTCTTAAATCTAGTCGATGGACACACATTCAGGGATGAAATTATTTCTCCAAACCCTTATCATTTTTCCCTTAGGAGTTCCCAATTCTTTATTTTTCTTAAACTGTAGCTCTACTCAGGAAGAACACTTGTGGTTATGAATAAATATCTATTTCATTTTAAAAGTTTTCTGTGGCTGTGGCAGTAATTCAGATCCATCAAAGAATGGTAGGGTGGAACTATAGAACACTAACTCTTCCTGATAGCCCAGCTTTCACGGTTAAACTACAAATCCCATAATCCAAGTAAGTTCTTTTTATTCACAGTTTCTGTGATGATAATGGTAATACTGTTATGCATTGAGATTTGGCACATTTCAATTTCAAAAGGAGAACACTGAAAAAAAAAAGTTAAATACTGAAAGCATTCATCATTGGCTTTAATCTCCATGAAAAAAGGGGCACTGTCATTTCATTCTTAAAAATAACTATATTGATTCTAATTATTAAAGAATAATACACAAAACTTAAAATCAAATAGTCCAAGCCTATGATGCAGCCCACACTATTATCTTTGATTGAGCTGTCACTTTTCATTTGTTATTTTTCCTCTTTAGCAACACAACAGGCACTTCAAAAGATGTACAACTGAAACACAGCTGATTACATTCAGTTGTTTAGAGCCATATCCATTTGGGTTTTGAGCATGTCCAAGGACACTGATTCCATAACCCACCTGGGCCTGCCTCTCTTCTAGTGTTTATCCTCAGGGTGAAATCCAGCCCCCTAATATTTAGTCAGATTGGCCCTGCTGCAGCTGGTGACCACTGCCCCTTGTCCTGCTGCTGCACGGTACCCAGCACAGCCTCAACCCACCCCTCCAAAGCCCCCATCCCAGCCTCTCCTTCAGCACAGACCATCCCTCCAGACTCTCACATCTCTGCTTCAGCCCCAACAAGTTCGGTGTCTCTGCCACGCTTGTTCTGTTTTGCCCATGTTTGTCTGGTACAGGGGTGCTCAAACAAGACACTGGAAACACAATGCTGGCCTCAAAGAATAGCAGAGAAGAAGAGTCCCTTCCAGGGACCTGACACATCCTGGGAGTCTGCTAGCTTTCTGTGCCGCCAAAGCACAATGCTGGTTCATGTTGGACTTGCTGTCCAACAAGACCCTGGTGCTTTTGTATTTTCAGGACAGTGATCCTGTGCTGCTTTACAAGTTATCCCATCCAAGGATGAGGATACTTAGCATTAACCTTCACTAAACATTCCCATCAAGCTGCTTCTACAGCCTGTTGAGGTTCCTCTCAACAGCAGCTCTGTCTTCCACCATATTTTCTGCTACTCTGACATCATCTGCAAAGCTGAGCAGATGCGATCCATCCTGCTGTGTAAGCTGTTAAACAGATGCTGAATAGTAATGACCCCAGCATGATCTGGAGGACCACCACCAGCCACACTTCGCACCACGGATCATCACCCTGTAAGCCACTGCCAGCTCCCAACTGGTCATCTAGAAAGACCTCCTCCGTCTCCTTCCCACAGATAAGGACGGATGGCTACCTGGGACCCTCCCTTAAGCCCTCCTTGAAAACAGCTGTGACATTCATGTTCCACAGCCCTCCAGAACCTCCCCCTTTTCAAATGACAGCAAGAGGCCTCACCACGACATCAGTCAGATCTCTTTCTCCCTTAGATGTGCCCTGCCTGCTGCCATATATTCACATATGGACAATGAGATTAAGGTTTTGTGTAACCAAAGCACATGAGACCAAGAGTCCTGCCATCAGTCATCACCCCCTGCTGCAGGTCTTGCTACGACTCTGTCACCGACTACTGCACCAACACAAGTACTTTCAGTTTAAGGTGTGCCCAGCCTTAGGCTCAACTGCCTTACTCTTTCAGGCAAGACTTCATTAATACAAGCCACTTAAAAGCTACATGCAACACAGTTTGTTTTCTGACTTGATAAAATACAGGAATTTCTTACTGTAGATTGGCATTTCCTTATGCATACACTGCAAACAGTGGTTTTAAGAAAGTAGAATAACTTAGATGCCACTTTTCAACTCTGTTGCTTTAGTAAGCCTCACTGAAATTGTGACACCTCCCTATTAGAAGCTCTCAAAAAAAATCACAACTTGAAAACTTGCAGTTACATTCCGTCAGTCTTCTCTTTGTGAGCAGAGTCTCTCAGGAGATCGTGCTGACCTTTTGAAACCCCCCAGAAGCACCACCTACATAAATAACCTCTGCTACATCGGGTAAAAGGACCTCCAGACAACATTAACATGAAGAGAGAGGTTATAGAGGGCTAATGTCAAAAAGCACTGTTAGCAATAAGTAATGCACACAAACCATGATTGATAACAACTAGCACAGAGCCTTAATTCATCTTTTCTCCATCATTTTACTGAGAGGGACCATATCAAATTAAAGAGTGACCCAGCAAGGGTTTATTCAACCATACAAAGCAGGGGCATGAAGGAAAGACATATTAAAGTGGCAATGACTGTGGTGAAATTGCAGCTTCTTAAAGGGACATTGTAGTTCACAGAGAAGATGGCAAATCTTGCATCTGACATGGCCAAATACCAAACAGCAAGAACACTCAACATACCAAGCAATGTCCTGCATTAAGGAATTGTTGGATGA